ACACACACAACACACACACACACACACACATATATATATATATATATATATTATATATTATATATATATATATATATATATATATATATATACACATATATATTATACATATAATATATATATATATATTATTATATATATTATATATAAATATTTTATATATATATATATATATTATATATATATATGTATATATATATAATATATATATATATATATATATATATATATATATTATATATATATACGTTATATATATATATATTATATATATATATAGAGAGAGAGAGAGAGAGAGAGAGAAAGAGAGAGGAGAGAGAAGAAGGAGAGAGGAGAGAGAGAGAGAGGGAGAGAGAGAGAGAGGAGAGAGAGAGAGAGAGAGAGAGAGAGAGAGAGAGAGAGAGAGAGAGAGAGGAGAGAGAGAGAGAGAGGAGGGAGGGAGATGCATAGAGAGAATATGTTTTTTAAGTGGGTGAAACGGAAATATTCGTTGTGTGAAACACAGTGCAATTGTGTTTAATGAAATCCATGATCATGTTAGGGGATGACCGAGACATATGTGCTTCTCTTAACCCTAAGCTGTCTGTACCCGATACATATTAACTGGTTCCCAGTCCCTAATGTTTTTTTCTGTTATCTAATTTCTGTACTTGGTTATAAAGACAAGGGACAAGACAATTACTAGCTTTGTTGGCAATTACAGACCCAATTTTTCATACAGGTGTATATATACACGGAAGCACCGTTAATGGGCCTTAAAATGCTTCTCACTTCTCTTGATTTCTTATTATATTTTTTGCGAGAGAAAGATGATATTCATTTATTTGTGTTTAGATTGTTATATATGTGCGCAATTCTTTGTATTTACAGTAAATCTCCCATCTTGCAATGGAAGCCATCACTTAAGCTAACAAATTAGGGTATTAGAAATCTGGGGATATGTGTGTACATTTTATTAAATACATTGGTAATTAATCATGTAGAAAATCAGTAAGCAATGAGACTTTATCGGTGCCGTTTTCCTGGATGACGTGTGGGCAAACAATGAAGCGTTTTCTGTCTTATTTCTGAATGAGCACCACTCCATTATGATAAAAAATAAATTCCCATTTCCTTTACGAAGCTTTTTTTCTCGAAAGTGATCTCTGTACGTGATGGCACTGTGAACTTGGCCCCTTAGCCGGCGAAGGGGTTGAAGGCCTGTTCGGGTTCGTTGTAGTTGTAGCCACAGTCTCCTCTGACGGTTTGGGTGGCCGTCACGGTGTTGACCTGTTCCCTGTACACGGTGGAAGTCACGTAGTTGGTGTTGTAGACGATTCTGGTGTTGTATTGAGTGCGGATCTGACCGGCCAGTTGCTGTGTCCTGACGGAGGTTTGAGTGACTGTGACGTAGCGTGTCTGAGCGGGAACATTGATCACTGTAGGAACAATCCTCTGGGAGTTGATTGTTGTGGGGACCACTCGGGTAGAGTACTGTGTCCTCACAACCTGCTGAGGAACAGTTACGAACCTTGTGTTGTACTGTGGCACCTGCTCTGTGCGCACGACGGTGGAAACTCGCTGTTCTACTTGTGTGCGTGTCACGTACTGAATCTGTGTGTTAGTGCGAACCACCTGCGAGAAGATAGTGGTGGTGACAGGAACAACATTTGTAGAGGTGATGACTCGAGTCTGGCCAGGCTGTGTGATGGTTTGGGTGACGACGTTGGTCCTGACAAGCTGGGAAGTCCTGACGACGTCCTGAGCAGGAATGATCACAGTAGAATAACGGGTGCTGTACTGCGTACTGGGGATAATACGAGTCTGACCTGGAATCTGCTGTGTCCTTGTGACCGTTTGTGTTCTGTAGACGGTGCTGACCACCTGCTGAGGTACCACCTGGGTGGAAACGACGTTCCTAATGACGGTGGTAGGTACCTGCTGGAAGCGAGTCTCATACCTTGTCTGGTACTGCACATCGGTCCTGACACTCTGCTCAGTACGAGTCACGTAGTTGACCTGAGGAGGAAGAGTGACGACCTGTGTGCGTACGTTGTCCTGAGTGCGAGTGACAGTCACTGTTTCGTATCGCACTGAAGGAACCTGCTGAGTGCGAACGATCTGTGAGTATACGGTGGTGAAAACTTGTTGCGTGCGGACTGAAGTCTGTGTGAGGTACTGGACATCCCTGTTGTAGACGGTTGATGGGACGACGACGGTGGAATACTGTACTTGCGTTCGGTAAATGACGGATGGCTGACAGTTGGCTTCCTCTTTGGGTGGCAAGTAAGACAGAGAAGACTCGAGTTCGATGCCATTCCCGAAGAGCTGCCGACGAGGCCTCTCGACGGACGCCCCGAAGGCGCAGCCGACCAGCAAGGAGAACAGGAGCGCCCTCATCCTGGAGGAGAAAACACCATTATTAATCAAGTTGAGAGAGGACCCTGAAACTGAATCATTATTAAAATGTAAGAATTAAACATTGCTGAAAATACTTACTATATATATATATACTGTAGTGTATCTTTAGATGTAGGAATAACAATAAAAGTGTTGAATAGGAATATTGGAGTGTATTTGTCATTTACATAAATACAAAGCTCATTCATAATATGATGGTAAAATCATTAAGAACTGTAGACAGATACATCGAAAACGCTTCACGATTTACCCACGATTGTATTGTATCAAATGTGATATTAGCAGATATTGAGATACTGATCTAAACTTTATGGCAAGGAGAAATCATCTTTAGAAGTTGAAAGGAACGGCCGGGGCATCGTAATTGTAACCACAAGAGGAAGTAACTGTCTGAGTGACGGTAACTTGGCGAGGCTGGTTGACTGTGCGGTACACGACCTCCTGTCTTTGTTGGGTCTGCACCACCTCCTGGTTAACGACGCGGTCTTGGCCGGGTACTTGGACCACAGAGGTTCGGACTTCCTGACGGGTTTGTACCACGGGGACCGGTGTGACGTACTGGGTCCTGACAACGGTCTGCACCCGTGTGAAGGGCTGAACCCTTGTCTCGAAGAGAGTGGTGTAGATGGTGGTGGGAACCACCTGAGTACGTACCACCTCTTGAGGTACCACCTGTGTGAGGATCGTGTCTGGGTAGCAATATTGGTTCTCGTCACCACCTGTTGACGAGTAGCAACGACATTCTCATAACGAGTGTTAACAGATGTGAAAGGAATGACCTGTTGACGCTGAGCAACAGTAGTTCTAACAACATCCTGTCCACGGA